TACAAACATATATATATATATATATATATATATGTACCATATATTTACACATAAATATTTGTCAATAAAAAATATATTTTTTATCTTTTACATATATGTTGTATAAATATTAAAATTTCACTTTTGTATATTTATTCAGTTCGTCATAAAAAAATTATCAAAAATTTCGAGCAAAATTTGACTCTTTAATTTCGTTAATATTACGATTCTGTTTTATACCGAGAAGCAAGCTTCAATTTATTCGATGTATTATTTTGATGAATTATTTAATGAATTAAAATTTCTATGACGGATAAATTTTACAGAGACCACTCACGAGGTATCTTCCGATCAAGTCCGAGTCCTTGGATCTAAGACATCATATAGAAACTGCCGGACATCAATTACCTTTGATTTACGATGTTACGGTCGATACAACAAGTTGCAGTGGTTACTTATCAAAGATGAGTAAAAAATTTCATCATTGGAATAAGCGATGGTTCGTTTTCGATCGCAGACGGAAGATGTTATCTTATTATAGCGATAACACGTCCAAGAAAGCCCGCGGCGTAATTTACTTTCAAGTAAGTGCCGAAAACTGATCTATTAAGAATTGTAACATTAATATCAACTAATCAACATTAATACATTGTAGTCGATCGAAGAAGTCTATGTGGACCATATGAACACCGTCCGATCGCCACAACCATCCCTCACATTCATCGTCAAGACATCATCTAGACTTTATCATCTTATGGCTCCCAGCCCGGAAGCTATGCGTGTTTGGGTAGACGTTGTATTCACCGGTGCAGAAGGATATCACGAGTTTGATCATGGCGTTTGATTTATACTTATTTATAAAAAAAAAAAATTTCTATGATACGGATTTAAATTTTCTAATTTTACGTGAGAATATGACGATTTTTTGTTTAGCAACACTAGTTGATGTAGTTTTTGTTGTTTGAATAAACGATATTTCCTATGTATTTTTGCGCTGAATACGAATCCGGCAATGAAATTGCTCCGTCAGGTTTCAAGGTGTCAAAATTAACATTTTTTTAGATATTTGTGATTTTTTTGTTAACGAAGTAAATTTCTTTCTTTACTTTCGTTTACGCCATTTTAAAGTGCCAACTTTTTTTATCTTTAAAATATATTTTTTTAATCCCTTACTTTTTTTTCACCGAGTTAATCTCTAGTAGTCACACCAATTGCTTCTTTTACTAAATGATCTACAGACACAAAAAACAGAATGCGACCTTCTTGTACGGCATTAAAAAATATATATTTTAGATAAAAGTTGGCACTTTAAGATGGCATAAAAGTAGAGAAAAAAATTTACTTCACTAAAAAAAAATCACAAATATTAAAAAAAAACGTTAATTTTGACCTTCAACCTCACTTTTCTTAAAATCCTGATAAATGTGATAGAGCAATTTCATTGCCGGATTCGTGTTTAGCGCGCAAAAATACATCGGAAATGGTATCTTTTATTCAAATAATAGAAAAAAATCTTAAAACGTCGGCCTGTAATGAGAGATTATTTCATAAGGAATTATATCTAAAATCAGAATAATTTTTGACTAAAAAACATGAATTAATAATGCATAAAGTAAATGAAACCTAAAATTAGAAATAACACAATTATTTTTTAAATGTATTTTGGAAATAGCTAATAATTTTAAATTATAATAGAAAATTTCTCTACATTAAGTAATATTCCTTATTGTGCAAAGCATTTCCATGTATCTTTATGAGTAGAGCCCGGATTATTCGCCGATCAATGTAACAATTCGAGTCGACAAGAGCGTATTTCTCACGAGTTTTCTCCATTGCCACTTATACGAAGCTGTGACGCGCGATGAAAAAGCAACAGCGTCGGTAGGGGCTGTCGCTCCTTCGCCTATGGCGGTAGGGTATGAGATGCAGTGAGAAAAGCTAGCTACGGTTGACGCGATCTCAAAACTTTAATCCGGGCTCTATATGAAAAATGAGCAACGTCAAAAAATAGGAACAAGTACGAGAACTAAGCTGCTAAATTCTAAAAAATAAATGAGGCAGCTATAGATTACAAAAATGTGTAAGCTATTTATATAACAAAAATAAGAGATATTTTAATTAAACATTATGAATTTAAAAGTTTAAATAATTACTAAGCTTTACACAATTTTATTAATGCAATGATAAATTTAAACTACTGTTTGTAGTTTCGCTAGTAGTTTCGGTTTCTTTTTTGAATCCGGAGTATTTTTTTGAGAATGCCATACGCTTATCCGCAATAGTAAAAGAACTCTGTAAAAAAAAATCAGATATCATCATCAATCATTACATCCATTTTAATATAAAAATCTATATTCAAAATAAGACCGATATCATAGAATGAGATCTTGATTCATCTGTACTTTGTAGAAAAGTAATGGATCTGGTAAATGCAAGCTAAAACATGAAAAATTATTTCAATTCTTTCAGTATTTGAAGTGTACAATTTAAATTAATTCTTGATGTATAATAATATTTTTTTTTAATTATTGAACGATATAATTTTTATATTTTGACTAAAAATATGTAATATTCACATAAAGTATAAAAATAATGGTATTAATGGTATATAAAACGTATATTTTTGATAAAATAAAATAAATAAATACGCTAATAAGAAATGTTAATAGAAGCT